TTAATGCGTAGAGGGCGCGTTTGGGTCTTTCAAATGAAATACCTATATTTGATTTATATTAGAATATCCATTACTAGTAGTGTATTGAGATACTATACATGCAATGTAAGCTGGGACTAAAATGTTACGTGCACGTGCATTTTTCTGTCCTAGATGTAAGTAATTTAACAATTAACTGAACACAACCGATTTATAACATATAAATTCAGCACTTTGTCATAGTAAGTGCTAATATGAAAACAATAAACGATTAGATCGATATAGGAGCGACTAGTTTTCTTTTCTAGAAACATCGTCTTTGGCCTTTTTGTTATTAGACACGAGCAGTATTTATCCAGATATATGCGACGTTTAAATAAATGGTTAAATCAACTTTATTGAGGACAGTTTATTCGAAACAGACTGGCAGATGCTTTTTTTTAAATAGGCCTCATCATTGGACGAAAAAGAAGGACGGAGCTCGTACATTTTATTAGCTCGTTTGTTCTAATCTAAATAATCATCCTATGAACTAGATAGAATCATCTTGCTAGTCTTCTAAGTGATCCGCCTTATCAAAATAATAAAGTTACACAACTCCTCAAATTATATAGCGTTTGTTTTCTCTGAAAATGCCCGCAAGTATTTTCTCCATGTATTTGGGTTTGAATGTTAAATTGAAATTTTACTTACTTAAGAAATGTTCTTACTTGATTTGCTTAAAGTTTATGACCAGCCAATGACAACCAACGCAATTTGATTTTGATTGGAGGTGATACTTCCACGATGATATTATGTTTTTCAATGTATCTCATGTACTCCAGCAACAGTCTTTGTGGAACAATTCCATCTCACTCACTATTAACATGGTCATTTGAAAATATAGACCATATTATGCTTCGGACATTATTTAAACGTTACATTCCGGGAAAATATATGTGGGTTTCGTACTTTTATGCAATCGCATCTCTTCGACCCTTTCCGTCAAACTTCGGATAAGAATATTATTGTTAATAGCCGACATGTTCCGATTGACATAAATATGGGTAAACTTACTCATTTTGAATTATGTTTGTTAAAGATGAACTATTACTGAATAGAAATTGAAATGCTATTCGGTTTTTTAATCAGCAAAGAACGAAGGGGGCATGTCCAAATTAGGGTTGTGATCCATATGCGGATATATCTATTTTGTTTATTTTATTTAAATTTCATCAATATGCTAATAATATTCACACATACAAAATAGCAAAAACATAAAATAAGAACATTGCCATTGTCTTAGAATGATAAGAATTATTTTTATATATAGTTATGCAGTATATTTCAGATAGAAAATGTATAAGAATATTTACATGGTAAAACAAGGTAAACTATACATTGTATATAATGTATATTGTAAATGTATACATTAATGTATACATTGTATACTTTTTGTTTATTTATTTGTTTAATTGGGTTTTACGTCACACCGACACATTATAGGTCATATGGCGACGTTCCAGCTTCACTGATGGAGGAAGACCTCAGGTTTCCCCCTGTGCATTATTTCAGGCACGAACGGGCACCTGGGTAGAACCACCGACGTTCCGTAAGCTAGCTTGAATACAATGTATATTATGTGAATAAACAAATATTTTTGTAAATAAAATTTGAATTCATAATGTCCTCTTTCCACATAGTACAAAGTATCATTAAATTTTACCTAGCTTTTGTACTTTTATTCAATTATATCAGGGTCCAGATTTCTTCAGACGGAAGTAGTTTATTTTTTCAGTTCCATTCATAATGCACACATATATACATAAAACATATTAAAATTGATAAAAAAGTACATATGACCATTCTACAATAGAATTATAAGAGGCTTTATTTATACTAGTAGTATCATTATACGTATATAATCGATAGTTAGTTCCTACTGATAACAGTAATGCAACATTACAAAAACATTTTACATCATAAAAGTTAGATTACCCCCACTGACCTTCAATTTAAAAAAAATGCCATAAGATATTTTGATAATAAAACACTGAGTGTTGTAAATTGTGGCATTGTTGCACAAATTAATAAATATCTTAAATCAAAGCACTGAATGTACTGATGGGGAGGCTATGACAGAATGTTTCAGACTTATAGTTTCTTTTCTTTTTGCTTAAAATGTGCTGTTAAATAAGAAGATATGCACATTGCGCCATTTATCGTTCAGCCATTTTTATAATACTGCACGTTTGTAACGTCGCTTTTCATTGGATAATCGTGACGTTTATATAGTTTTATATACACGGCTACTGTCGATTCATGAAGAAATCTTACTTTTTTCTCTAAAAAATGATGCGTGCTATATTATAAATTCGTTATAAAGATTGTTGACAGGATATATGGCCGTATATAAACGGCTGTTTGCAATATAACCCTCGCCTAACGGCTCGGGTTATATTTACAAACAGCCGTTTATATAGGGCCATATAACCTGTCAAGAATCTTTATAACTAATAATATAAGTGGTTAATATGGTTGACTATTCATTTTGTTAATATTCCAGAACATTTCATTGAGGTCTACATTCGGATTGTTAAAGAAAAACCTAAAAACCATTTATAAATGACATACCAGCAGGTATGACGACTGTTCATTATAAGATCATATATTAATACCATTTTACAACTGACGGTTCCTTATCAAAATATTCTAGGCCTGTTCATCATAAATACTTTATGTCATTTTAATATCATTGAATGATAATAACAACTGCAAGTTAAGCAACATTTTAATTGAGCATAAAAATTATACATATTTACATGTACCATAATTGAGATCAATAAGACACTGTCTTGTGATGAGTATTAATATTCATGCTCTACGGACAGAAAGTTGTCTTCTCCCGAAGCAAATCTCGAATAAAATCACGATTCAGAAAATTATTAAATTATTCCCATTTCATTACTCGTCGCTGACTTTGACGGCTTCGGATAATATTAAAGCTAAATATTTCTTAAAAATATATATCTGCAAAGCTTATTCAAAATTGAATCAACCTAAGTGAACATTGATCAGGAAGTTATATCTTCTTTTTTTTATCTTCTTTTTTTTACCGCCAACACTCAACCAACTTATGGATTTGAAACCTCACTAGCTTGAAATATATACTGCGGAAAATCTGTTGTTAACAGAGTGTGCGGTTATTACGTTGGGTTTTCCTTGGCGACCATTTCCGCAAATAGATGAGAACATCGAAGCGTCAGTGCTATGAATGGTGTTATAAATAGCGTGTTTTGGAGGTTTTTGTTGAAACTTCTCCAAATCCCTCCAGAGGTATGCACGTCGCGGAGAAGGCACACGGCAGGTCAAGGTCAAGTCATCTCAAGTACCAGAGGTGATTGGTTGACCTGTCGTAACTTACTCTGGAGGTTTGACGCTAATGAATGCCGTTTTTGTTGTCGTCAGTCAGGAAGTTGATGCCTTGACAATACTGTCGTCTCCTTTACCACTAACGAACGAAGAATGGGCTACAAGGAAGATTCTGCTTAAAAAAAAAGACGTCCCCGATGCTATAATCTCGGACATATGGTTATTCCGGTGCCGAGAATGAATGAACTTAAAACACACACTCTTGTTGAAAACAAAACAATAAAACAACAACATATTTTCTGTAGTAATTTTTCAAGTGTTGTAAAATGAAAACGAAATTCGTCTTATGCCGCCAATTCTTTTTAGAACACAAACATATAAGTTCTTTTTATTTGATTTATTCAAATAAACATTAATCACTTCAGCGCGCGCAAATATCATTTTCAAATTAAAATTTCGTAAGGTATGTTGATGAATTTCCCATGCTCGACTGTAAGTCATTCGTATATATATGCGTTTTTTATGTTTTGTTTTTTAAAGTTTCTTATTCTTTAATATTTTTATGTATCTCATAATCTGTATTGAAAATTTTATCACACACGAACTATCAAATTATGATTCGTTGCCCTAGAATTGAATAAACTTTCTAATTACACAATACGGGGTCATTCATTTGATTGAAGACTGATCTTTGAGTCTTTCTCTGAAATAATGTTTTCAAGCTATATGTTCATCACCATTAGTGAATTTTTAGTTAAATGTATGCAAAATATTTACTAACAGCTATATGATATAGCGGTTTATGAGCGTTTTCCGCGTACAGCCTCCTAAGGTGTACTAATAAGTTAGTTTTCCTTAGTTATCACGCAAGCATGATCCATGTCTCTGATGTAAGCGACAGTTTACCATTATTTGTCTTTAAAAAATATTAAGGACTATTAATGGTTTATAACAACAAAAGAACATGCATGATATTGAGACTACGGTGTTGCAACGTTCTAGTTAATGACCCGTCATAAACAGTTGGTCGCTGCGTAGTAATTGGAAAATTGTTATCAAAAATAATAAAGAATTTTTGCCACCTAATTAAAGCATTTACCTATAAATTTTCATTTATGCTTTTTGTTTAAAAAATATTGATAAAGTTATTATATAGAAGGGTTTTCATACCAGAACTATTTATTACCAACGTACGTATGCCTAAACCTGATTACCGCGGCAGTATGACGTCACGGAGTAGTGATTTTGAAAAAATAACAAACAAAAATCAAGAATTTTTCAGAGAATTATTATCTTTACAAATCGCAGATATGAAATAAAAGTTCATATTGTAAATGTCTGTGATGAGTGATGAGTCAGCTTAGAAAAAATCAAGGTACTATTTTTTGACCTGATTACCGCGGCAGTAAGATTTGACGGACGGTTATTAACATTGGGTCGGCATAGCCTCCCCAAAAATATATCACCCGTGGTCAGACCATGGATGAACTGGTCAGTAGTGATATTCTATACCTACATGTTTAAAACGAATTGGTTACATGTGTGCAATAAAATATTTACTATCATGTACTTATAAGCACAAGATCATCTAAAAACTGTTAGATAACTATATTAAAATCAATAAAAAAAACTCCAACACTAAGTGGTCTGGAAATCAATATATTAGTTGAAGAATATTGTAACATGTCCTCTATCCACAAAGCAAGAATCAGTCTTTCCACATAGCAAGAATCAGTCTTTCAAGATAGCAAGTATTAGTCTATCCACATAGCAAGTATCATTGATGGGAAGTATTAAGTGAAAGATTATGTTGTCTTACAAATCACACATGTCCTCAATATGAGCCAACAGTTTCAACGGGTTATGTTTCCACTCTACAACAAACATATATAGCTTTGCAAATCGAATATACACACAAGTACAAAATAATAACAAAAAAAAACAAAAACAAAAAAAACTACGCGAACGAAAGGGTTGAGGCTGATATATTTTGTAATTTATCTCGAGTTTTGAAAAGTTTTCAATTTTTTTAGACCAGCAGATTAAAGCATCAGGCATGAATAAAGAGATCTTATCCATGTGTGTACAGGTAAAAATTAAAATAATCAATAATCCGTGTTAAATTTCTGTAAATATCGTTCAGAATGTTCCCACGCTTAATTCTTAAAAAGAATGGGACAGTCTTTTTATACTTTAACCTGATTTTATTTTGTATCATACATATTTTTCATTATGAATTATTGGTCTGTCACTCTTATATTAACTATATTACATGTATTACTAATTCAGTTCAACTTGACAGCAAATTTAAGATAAAAAGAGCATAAATGTAAAATCACATTAATCTAATAAAACAGTGATCGCAATTATATACCTTTCACAAAATGTAAACATATTGATCTGCGTCATACACGGGTAATCAGCCCATTTTCTGTGACGTCCTTCCGTAAATTTTGCGCAATTTCTATTCGTCATATTTCTCGGCGAATCTTGCCCCCAATCAAAGAATCCACCCAGAGGCGCCCCTGAACTATTCCATTTCCAAACACCTTCCACGTCATTGTCTGTTATCCCGAGCCAGATTTCGTATCCTTAAAACAATCCGTATACGTGCATTTGAATAGTTAAAAAAAAGTTAATATAATTTAATAAGATAACATTAATCTTATTAAATAACCAATGAATTTCAAGTATTTGCAGCCTATAAAGTTCAAATACAAATCAATATTTCATCTAATCTTATCAATTTAGCCTCGTTTTGAAAAAGAATTCTGTATGATATCACATTCAGTCTGGCCTCGTTATCATTTTCTGAATCCAAAAATTCTATATCAAATTCATATTGTATTCTACCAAATAATCTTTATCAAATCCGCAGTGTATTCTATCTAGCATCGTCTGAATTTTCCGATGTTATACGCTCTTTTGACAGTTAAAACACTTACTGCAATGCTGTAAGTCTAATTTACTAATTATAACATTTAAAGTTGCATGTCTCCATCCAGACAAGCCAAAACCTTACTAACTAAAAGTTACTTTTGCATATTTTGACATTTATTTGGGGATATACGTGGACTGAAAATGCTTTATAATTAGTGTATCATATTTATTATACATAACCTGCGTAACAAGCATAGAATAAAAATGTTACTCGATGCGATTTATTTTAGTATTATACATGTATATACAAAGTATATATAATTTACCCGTGAGAAGGGGCGTCAGTGGCCGAGTGGTTAAGGTCGTTGACTCTAAACCACTTGTCCTTCACCGCTGTGGCTTCGAATCCCGACAGGGACTATGAATTCTTTTATGTGAGGAAGCTATCCAGCTAGCTTACGGAACGTCGGTGGTTCTACTCCGGTGCCAATTAGTGCCTGAAATAATGCACGGAAGGGCACCTCCGTAAAGCTGGAACGTCGCCATATGACCTATACTGTGTCGGTGTGACGTAAAACCCAAAAACAAATTAACAAATTACCTGTGAGGAGCTGTTGATTCATGAAATACGTTTTCAAATACTCATTTTCTTCTGTAGTTTCCGCTTCAACAACATGAGCGTTCTGCCCTGCACAATATACCTAAAAAACACAATTTTCAACAACAAAATTAGACACGAAAGATCGTAACGCAGAGATAATTAATAGATTCCTTCTCGAACCTTTGATTTGAATAACAATAGAGTTGACGAACAAACATTAACATGTGCTTTTTTTGTTAACAGATATGTTGTGGTGAAATCGATATTGTACAGGTCAGGGATCTATGCATTATCATAACCAGCATAGATTTTTGAAAAGAAAGTTGGGAATCGGGGTTAACGTCGCACCAGCTATAGGTTATATAGCGTCTTTCCAGCTTTACTTGCGGAGGAAGATTAGAACACCGACGTTCCGTTTGCTATAGCTAGGTAGTATTCCTTAAACAACTAGTCCATCGGTTTGTCAAATTAGTTAATACCTCTGTCGGAACTAAGAACAAATTCTTTTCAAAGCTTCAATTAACTATTTGTTTTTCATGAATAAATGAATTCTTTTTCTCCTTCTATAACCAAGCTATGTATAGCAAATAATTAATAATTCTGAAACAAAATATTATCTTTCATCATATAAATGTTCGTACTAATTCACTTAGAAATCTACTTTCACTAAATAAGTACAAATGTATATAAAACTATTTCCCTGCTGACAGTTGTTTACAAAGTTTTGATTTTGTTTTGAAAAAAAAATCTAAAGTGCCTGCATGAAAAAATATGTTGATATATTTGCTTCCACGAAACCATTGCTAAACTTTTACAACCCTACATAAAACTGTTGCGTAATATATTTCTACCGGAACATTTTATTCTGTTAACGTACAATAAATATATTAGCCAAAATTATATTTCTAGTTTCGATGCCATATGACCTAAATTGTGTTGGATTCGCAGTAAGTCAATTTTCACGGACTTTTTTCGCTTCAAAAATTAAAAAAATAACATAAATAATCATAAGCACAATCCTTTGTTTTATTTAGAACAAGAAGTATCTTTAAAAAAGATACATGGCCGAGGTAAATATGCCTTTACTTGCAAAAATCATTCTGGATGGTTATATTCATGGAGAAATATTAGCAGTGTCGGTTAAAGGATGTAATAATGACAGTTATTGCTTGTGCAAATTCAAAGTGCTTATTGTAAACAGTTATTCAGGTTAGTCCAACAAACTGGACTACGAGTTCATGTGCTATTTTAATTTCGGGCAATATTTCCCCTCTACGACGTTCAAGCGCCTTTCCGACCCACAACAAACAGTACGTCGTATTATAAACATTATATCAAACACATCAATCACTTAGTCTTTTCCCGATATTTTCATATTCGCCGCGTCATGACAAAACCAACATAATGGGTTTGCGACCAGCATGTATCCAGACCAGCCTGCGCATCCGCGCAGTCTGATCAAGATCAATGCTGTTCGCTATCAGTTTCTCTACTTGTAATAATGTTGGTAAGCGAACAGCATGGATCCTGATCAGACTGCGCGGATGCGCAGGGTGGTCTGGATCCATGCTGGTCGCAAACGTACTATGTTGGTTTTGTCATGACGAGGCGAATATGTTTGAGTTTACGGGTTAACGTTTGGTCTCGTTATTTCGGACACATTGTTTATTTCAATTACGAGATATTTAAAGCAATGTAAAAAAAAATTGTGGGAGTAAATATGATTACACAGAACTTTTAAAAATATCTGAAAAATTTAACTAGAAAATGAGAGAATTTAAAAATCTGAGCAACTCAGGAAAGCTAGTTTGTTTCCTGTACTCATTTAGATTAATTAACAAAATATACACATAAATCATTTTAGAAAGATCCTTTATTTTTTTAAACTTATTTCAAAATGGCTAATGAGAGTCAGAGAGTCACAGATTTCAGTTTGTGATATTAAAATGACTAATGAAAAATCTACTTATATTCAGTTCGTACCTGTAAATTATGCATGAAGTCAAATTGATTTTTTTGACGGCCTGTACCTAAAACTTAGAATTCTTACCACAGCTTCTTCGAATGTTTGTTCTTTCGGTCCAGAAAAGTAAAATGATTGTCCGTATGTAGTGTTCAAAATTTCTGTAAATACATATGAGGGATATTACTTAAGGATAAGTCGGAAAATGAAATACTGATTATAATTTACTTACGATAAAATGGAAAAAAAAATACTCAGAATATTCAGAAAAGAACAAAATAAATATTGAAAATTCAGAACATGAACAGAAACAATTTTCTCTGGTGACAGTTGCTCAATCGTATATTAAAGACTGTAGAATATATAAGCATATAGAGGATATTCAAGTTTTTTCTATAAATACATGATTTATTTTCATCGAGTGGTATGAAAATAAATATTTCATGAGTGGCGGTAGCCACGAGTGAAATATGGTAATTTCCATGCCACAAGATGAAAATAAATCGTGTATTTATAGAAAAAACTTGAATTTTCTGTTTATTATATACATTTTTCTCTTTTTTGACATTAAAATTTGAAAGACTTTTCCTTAAATTTTGTGTACTGGCAGAATTTAAAAGAAAGTAGTCCGGCAAGACACCAGTGAAAATACGGAAAATATGTTTCACTGCAGTGAAAAATAAATTTTTACAGTGAAAATACGGAAAATGAAAATATGCATTTTATTTCATCAATATTTCTCAATATTTCATTTATAAGTATATAATAAAAATGATTATTATGAATATAATCAATCAAAAATTCATTTCCAAATCTGTCAGCTTTCTGTCAAATATTTCAAATTATTGTAATGTAGTGTACCCAAAGTGTATAAAACTATGTATTTGTTGTCTGTTGGTAATATAATAATTGTTTATATTGTGATTTTAAATGATTAAAGAATACATTATAATGAAATAATGTTGTCAATATTTTCATTGAAAGCACTATGACTTGCTTAAACTCGTCACAAAACCTACAACTAAAATAGTAGCGGAGTATTTTGTTGCCGAACATTTTTATTCTGTTTACATACACTAAAAATTTTTATAGCTATTTTATGTTACAAATCTTTCAAAAAACGATTATAATTAAGGTTATGAAAACTACCTAATTTTATTATGTTTAATTTCATTCAAACTATTTCCTTCGATTTAGCTTTATACACTTTAAATGTTTTTTCTTTCTTTTTTAAATCACTCTAAGATAATAATAAGAGAAAAGATATCAGTTTATTTTCTTTTTGACAATTTTAACTAATTACCATTCGTGTCGTAATAGAGTGAACCTGATAATGTCTCATTTAACTCTCCAGTGTTGTAATACAGTTTACATCCAAAACACTTCAAACTTGATGGATCATAAAACAAGCTGGCGCAAGAATCATTCATTGTACATCTAATAGCACACAGAGTTTTGCTCGTATTTATACTTGGAGCAAATACATAGTCTTTCGGACTACAGATGAAGCCATTCAGCTCGATTTTCTCCTTAAAAAGCTCCAAAACTGATGTTTTGTACTCTTTCAACATTATGTGAACGACCAAAATCCCGAAAGTTAAAGAGACCTTCATTTAAACTGATGATCAAAACGCTCATAGCTTCATGTGAACAATCAATCTCACCGCCGATTATCACACTATCTTTACGCAGTCAAATTGATGATTTCTGTGATGAGGTTGGTATAATTAAAAAAAGAAACCGACAGGAATTGTCGTTTGACAATTCAGAAAAATAAAAGTAACTGGTTTATAGCCAATTAAGTAAATTGGTGATTGGCAAAGATAAAGCTTTAACATGCATTTCTGAAAATGACCTTTGATGATAAAATATTTAATGCACTTTTAAACTGTGCACATAATTAGCTATTTTGGTCCTTTAATGTGAAATGTCATTTAAAATGTACTTTCACTTTTCAACAATTCAAACGTATGTGTTGTAATCAAGAAATTTAATTAAATAAACACTGTCCAAGAGCTCAATCACATTCAACTTTTAAGACAAGTATAAAAACACATCATAAAAATCATCATTTTTTAAGAAATTTTAGAGAATCTTTTTTTAAAGGTTGATCTTGTCTAACCTAAAAGCCTTTTAAAACATTAAAAAGATAATCGACTGAAACATTATTAACAATTTAAGCATTACGTGTCGGTTGATAACTCATCAAGCCCGGTGTGACTTATATCTCCACTCCAAATCAAAGACATGCCTAGCTTTTATGTTGACAAACATATCCTATTTTGATAAACATATCAAGTACAACAGAGTCAATAGTTAAGTTTCCAGACATTTTACAGTTTTTATGTTCAACATGCTTTTATTCTGATACTAACAATACTTTAGTTTCAAAGCATGTATATGTGTTTTAAGTCAGGTGTGCGATTGTGGCTGCATTGTTTTTTTTTGTTTGTTTTTATTTTTTTCAATTGAGATTTCAGATTTGCGATTGTAGTAGCCTTAGTCTATTGTTTTGCATTTGAAAAAATAACAGTATTATTACTAGCCAAAAAAATATCTAAGCATTGTTTTGTTTCCATTTTAGATCACCCGACGAGACCTCTTCAATTTTTAGAGACAAGTACGAAAAAAATGCTAAATCGGTAAAAAATATTTGTCAAAAAGAAAATGATCATTACCAGAAATATTTCTACGCTTAAAAATGATATCATCATATACATGTAAAACAGACAGTAATCTGTTGACAACTTTTGCAAGGAACTATGTCGGATTATTCAAAATACAGTAATCTGTATATTTCTCAGTAAACTCTAAGTTATTTAATTTATGTATTTTGTTTAGCCTAGTGAACGTCTAACTCAAACTTTTTTCTTTTATTGTTCGCTTTGGTTATAATTTTTTATGCGCTTCGGTCAGTCCAAATGTGATCCTTCAATGTGAATTGGTCTTTTGTTAATGCGACTCTAGACACGGGGTCAATACCCGCGACGACTTTTTCTGCGTGCTGGTGGAAAACCTAAATCAACAAAGCGCGGTAGTGTAGTGTAGAGCCCATGCTAGTGAGTAACCTGGGCATGAAATGTTTGTTTGTCTTTCGTTTTGTGATGACACGGATAAAAGAAAAAATAAAGAAAAATGATTGGCTCAACGGCCCTTTAACAAATTTTCTTCTTAAAGATCTCAATATTTGTCGGATGTCTCCTTGTATGCAGAAAAAAGAGCTGCAGTTATATTTCTGTTACTCCCACTTTCAGTGTTAGGTGCTAAATTCATCCTTTCTCCTTCCGTCGTCTTGGGATGTCCACCCACTTAGCTAAATAGGGAGAACATCGGAGTAGTAAATAATCAAGGGCTTGCTAGCCAAGCGAAATTTCTCTGTGACAATTAATATCTGACATTGAATGTAAAAGTCATTTGTCTCTTACCGCTAATTTAGACAATTGCGTAGAAATAAGTCATTATAGTTATATATAGTTATCCAGAATAGCTGGTTATGTAAATCGGTCGCCGAGATATAACCAAAAACATGTGCTGAATTCAGTATAAAACCAGACACAGACACATCCTTGGGCATTTATGGAACTAATTTCAAAGACGCTTCATGTGTAGCATTCATTTCTTTGCCAGGCAACACAAAGATGTTACGAAATTTGTTGTAAAATTTGATATTTTGATCAACACTATAAAATTTGTCCATCCAACTGACTAAAACATTTGTTAACAATGTTAGTAAAGTATTTTCTTTTCATCAGGGCATTTACATATTTTAAGAACTTCATATGTTTTTATGAGCAAAGTGCCGATCAAATTGTTTAATTGCATATTTTAATTACTGGATGTTTAAACTGTTTGTGTCTTGAATGTCGTACTAAAGAAAGGACGATGAATAGAGTCATGTATTACAACAAACTTGCCTCAAATATAATGATTTACAAGTAATAAAAGTGCATGCATATAGCATAAAATTTCTTAACATATTTACTCACAGCATTATTTTTGTGAGCTGAAGTATAGGACTGCTGATGGGACTGCGAAATTTATATATTAGCAAAACACTATCGACTAAATTTTCTAATATTTGTTACGTAGCATGCACTTTTCTGTTTCTGCTGAAAGACAACGTCATTTTATAGCACGATCAATGACTTGCTTACAACGCGCAGAATAATGAAGAATTTAACCGCACTTTGGGGTCAAACGCACTTTGGGGTCCGACCCCAAAGTGCGTTACACTTTGCATCGCACTTTGGGGTCCAACGCTCTTTGGGGTCAAAATCGAGAATTTGACCCCAAAGTGCGTAAATATGCTACATATTAACGCACTTTGGGTTCGAGAGTTCTGAAGGTGTCAAATGAGTTCTGCTTAAATATTGCGTACTGACTTGTTTTCGATCTGCGACATTGAAATATTTGAGGCGGAATTCAAGATGACGGTCGATACTTTGTTTGATGCTTAAGTGATAAAAGTTTCATTAATTTTACCACTTGAAATATCTAAAACTAGTGTCCATATAACAAAGTACATAAATTGTGAATGTGTTTCTAAAATTTATAGATTCTGCGAAAAATATCATGTTCTGTCAGTCATTTACTTGATAACTTTTGGTGTCATATTGAGCCCAATTTTAAATATGAAAGTTCTTCACTAACTTTTCAAGATCATTTAAAATCCATATTGATTCTACTATAATTCAGGGCACACCTTTTGCGTCTATTTAATACCTTGATATTAATTAAATACGATGAATTTAAATAAAATGCAGTTAATATTTTTTCCAAAGAACTATGAATATACTCTGTTGCAATGTTCTGGTGAAATATCAAGTTTCTCGATCGGATTATAGATAGTGATTTTTACAAATATATTATTAAGCTTAACAACAAACTTAAGTTTTTTGTAAGCTCCGTAACAACAGTTCGCCAGAGGCTTTTTTAATGGGAAATCTTACAAACTTCTTTAGAAAGGGCAAATATGAATTTTATAATGTTTAAATAAAGTATCAGAGAAATGTAAGATGCTTGTTACCTGAATAAACTAGTGATTAATGTGAAATAATTTGTCATAAAAGTAGCAAAATGTAAACAGTGTTGTATTGTTCTTCCATATAAAATACTAATTCACTATGACTGTACTCATCATTGCCAAAAAGCAACAGATGAAAAAGATGGTCCAGGTAATTGGCCAACGATAAGTTTTTGGATACTATAGAAGTACTCCAAAATTAAAAAGCTTTTAAGAAATACAAATAAAAGCACAATGGGCCTTTAAATTTAAATATTTTTTAATCTCGGGGCGATGGAAACCCCACCATCACCTCTAGACCCCTCAATGAGAATTTTACATTTTAATGAAGTTCCGCTCTTAATGTGTGACTACTAAAATAGTTTTACTGCCTGTACGGACTACTACTACTTAAGGCCGCATCTACACCTAGTCAAGTTTCTTAAATGTCGCATTTAGATAAGCTAAATAAAATTAATGACCCTTTTAACATTTTATCAGGCAATTTTTTTTACTGAAGTGTGCTTTTTAGATTCCACAGGGTTTATATCTTTGTCTTTGCTAAGAATATCATATTTCTGTAAATGTGTATATAAAAAACGGGGAAATGATGCAATTAGCTAAAAACAATGAGGTTAATGAAAGGTGTACATTCATTTAAAATAAATGGAAAATGTGAGAAAAATATTTTGAGCTTATTAATTGATACAAATTCTTTACTTGATGACAGTTCTTCACTAACTGATCAAGATCATATAACTACTATAATTCAGGGCACATGTTATGTGTCTATTCAATATTATGTTTTATTTTTATGCTTCCGATCCTTAAAGATCGCTCAGCACGACATAATAGTTGTGCTTGTGGTAATTTAATTCTTTCTATTCGGCTATTTTCTTGCTGGGTGGTTCCAGTATTCCTCACTTGAATACTGTTGAATCAGCCTTAGGATATGTGTCCTGCTTTTAAAATTGTCTTTTGACGTCTGTGATATGCAGGCTTTATAACATCTGGTCCCCTTTCAAAATTCCATTGTATTTAGTTCCGCCCTTTTTTTTCTCGTTTAGGGCACACGCATGTTTTTACTTGGGGACCATATGCCGCTTTTCATGGAATGGCTCTTACGTGTCACATTGAATGTTCCATGATAACCGCCATATGAACTCATCCTTGGATGTTTCTAAATTGTACCAGTTCATGTTAAATGTTGCATTTTCCAGTACCATCCATGAACAGGCTCAATCAAACCGAGCCTGCAACATTTTCAATTGTGCCGTGTTGGACTTTCTTTAGGGACTCTTATTTTCTCTATTTTAACACCTTGACTTTTGTTTACCATTGACTTTGACTACAATATATCATTGAAAACATAATGAATATTCATTTCTATTGATTGACTTTTTATGACCCCAAAGTGCGGTCGTTTGTCTGATATTAAAAAAAATGCATATGTACCTGTATAACGCACTTTGGGGTCAAAATTGGACCCCAAAGTGCGTAACGCACTCTGGGGTCGGACCCCAAAGTGCGTTTGACCCCAAAGTGCGGTGTTACAAGGCAGTAAATGATTTTATCGGCGCGATTCTGTTGGTCTGATATTAGACACCTGCCGTGTCACCTTTTAAATTGCAACTGTTAACTGGC